TACACGTGGAAGGTTTGCGATAGCGTAATATAAATGTTCTGTGAAATGCGCGGATTACCGGGTAAAAGCCGTGCTTCTCCGTTGCTCCCGTGACGCGTTACAAGTGGCCGTTGCGACGATAGTTGCCATTACGTCGAGCGAAATAGAGTAGGTTATTTTCGAGCGGGTATTTTATGGAAATAATTGCGAAAGGAAGAAGAAGAAGACGTGTGTCGCTTTGTCGCTTCGAGGGGAAAGCAAAATAAAGATCGAGCCGCCGTAAATATAGACGAAGCACGGTGGATGCCGCGATAAACCGGAATGGGGGATTTTTATGCATCTGGATCGAAGCGATGGAAACGTTCGGACAATTAGATGTTAGGTTATACGTGTTATTAACACTTTGCGCTCGAAAGTTTTTCGCTGGGAACATTCAGTGTTCTCCAATGAGACGCAGACGATGTTCTTTCAAACTAATTAGAGAGAAAACATATATAATTATAGATGCATGCAAAGCTTAATATTGTATATAAGACTTTATAATTTTGCAAATCAAATCAAGTGACTGAGGGTCACCTCTCGAGTGCAAAGGGTTACTTTGCTGACGAATGAGATCAAACTCTCATATTTCGAATACCGAGTTGCGAACGAATGATTCTATAACTCAATTAGCAAGGGATGTGCTTAGTTTCCATTTTCTGTATTATCTAAGCATCCGATATACAATTTTGCCGAATCTGCTGAAGGTTTCGTGTTCTTCGGAGAATCTTCATCCGCAAAGGGTTGACGCTTGGCCAACCGAAAGAGAGATCTCCCACTTTTCACTTAGTATTGCCTTTTATTTTGTTTACCCTTTGTTGTTTAGTAAGTTTAGTAAGTTTATTAAATGGGGTTCTTTTACAAAACACAGTTTCTAACCGAGTTGAATGAGTTCGATAAGAAATATTGGAGCAAGTTGTAGTTACAGTTCTTTTTACGCGGTCGCTTCAGTGTTAACCCTTTGCACTCGAAAAATTTGTCACAAGAAATATTCAATTTATTTTTATCTATTCAGAAAATGAGGAACAATGGTACTTTATTTCCACATTTCACGTATCGACAGATTACTCGAGACTTAACGTTAAATACGAAATTTTACAATTTTGATGCGAGTAGTGACTGAGAGGCACCCTTGGAATACAAAGGGTTAATATACAAAGCATAGTGAATATTATAAAAAATATTCTAACAAAGAGGAATTAATTATTACAAGTCTCACGCGAACATACTACCAACGTAACGAACATTTCATCGGAAATCAAACGTTCTGTACAAACGGTATTTAGAGGCCGGAAATAAAAGCGGTCGTAAGGTGTTGCACCTGTAATTACACAATTTACCGCTTAAACAACATTCGCCCGGGAAGAAGCGAGTGTTTGGACGTTTCGATTCGGGGCGCAGCGTGCGCGCGGACGTGGACAAGCACCGGGACAACGGGGACGGCTTTTAATCGAGCGAGAAACACAATGTTTGCGTCGCAGGCTGACGGTTCAATTTTCTAACGATACCTTAACGACGACCTCCAGGTAAATATTTGACGAGTGCGTGGACGTTCCTCGTCGGAACGACAGTGGGAAGAAGCGCCGCTCGATCGGCTATACGCGGCCGGCTCACGTGCGCTCCTCGTACGAATGGCACGACAGGTGAACGCCTAGTTAAACGACGCTGTGTGCACACCTTCGCGAGCGTTCCAACGAAACCGAAAAACGGGGCGGTCGGCAAACTGGTTATTAAGACTTTCGCTGCTCGGGAACGCTACCATCTGAACCTCGATTCGAATTTTTAAATGTAAGACTAGGGAAACGCATTAACCCTTTGAACTCTGTACGCTCTAATGTTGCAGGAATAATATTAGATATTCTAATGAACCTTAAAGAAACCAGCCTACAATTATTAGATTCTCCACACATCCAAATTTTGTACTAAGAAGGAAAAAGATCTAAGAAATGTTATAGCAGTTTTCATTTTCGCTAGAGATACAATAAAAATTAGTCGCAGTTGCTGATAGATTACAGAACCATCTGGAGTGCTAAGGGTTAATACACTTGCAATTCAATAAACGAAGAATATTAACGCCTTGGGTATTGTTGGCACTTAATTCCTTGCCTTACGATTGAATTTCCTAGGTGCATTTATTTTTAGAACAATAATGAACAATAATGTTTCGATTAAACTTAACTCAATGACATTTATCTTTGATGAACCACATTAGAAATCTTCGTGACACGATATTCTAAAGTAAAGACACTCCGATCCGACGCGAGTGAACTCTAATTGAACAATTACACCTTCCCTTACTCGTACATTCCACGAATAATTATTTCAGATCGTTTAACTCAGTTCAGCTCGATACTTCCACGGTTCCAATACGCTTCGTTGTAAACACGCGTTGACGCAACGTTCTGGCGAAGGATTAAAACACTGTTGAGTAATAAACTCGCGACAAACATCACGTAAAGATACGAGAAGGTCAAAGCGAAGATTGAACTAGGAAATCTTGCGGTCCCCAAGATTACCGAGAGATCCGTAGAACTCTCCAGCGTTCGAATTCTCGGGCCGCATTTTAATAGTGATGCAAGAACCGTTATCGCCCGGTTCCGAGATACGGATAAACTAGTGATGCAATGAAACACTCGGGTCGAGTGACGTCTGTCTTCCCCGAACCCGTTTTCTGCGTCCCCGTTTCCGTTCACTTCTGCAGTCTCGTCACAGTTCGATTAGACGGCGCGCGTCACCTGCGTTATCATTGTCAGTTACAACGGAATCCACCAGCTGGTTATTCCTTCGACGTAATCGTATCGCGTTACCGAGAACATTGAGAACTTTCGATCCACTTTCCCGTGAGTCCCGGCGTGCGTCATCGGCCGTCATCGGGCGTCCCCGCGATTCGGCCCCGATCGCCTCGCGACCGATCGGGGATGCAGCGCGCGCGTCGATCGAGCTTCGACGAATTCGAGTCGACTCTCTAATGCATTCCGAAGGGATCGTTGAACTTACCGAGGTTCGGGAACTCCTGGGAAGCTCGGCTGAGGGCCTGGAACAGGAAGGGTGACATTAAGATGCATGGTCAAGCGAGGAGTTCATTTTAATGAGGACAGTTCACGGCTCGCGTTTGTGGAACAGTCGTTGAACCCCTGAATGTTTCATCGTCTTGAGGACACGTCGCAAAGGGAGAGTAGGGCACGAATCAATCAATAATACTGTAGCTACATAATTTAACCCTTTGTAAGCCCGTGTAACTTTGAAGTCGCATACCAGTATACTGGCGTCTTGTTGATTTACTTCATTTTGCAATGAAAGTGGTGAATAAAATGTAATCAGTAAACTGAAACTTTCGTACGCTCAGGCGTGAGAGTTTAACACGTTAAGCGCCATGTCAGCCATTGGTGACTGACGCTTCTGAATGACTAGAGAACAATCGTAACGTACAAGATAACTGATGTGAAATGAAAATGTTTGATAACGTAATTATGTTGATAATAGAGTTATGCGAACATTGTGACGTCAAATAATTAATAATTGTTCCTGCTTTTCTTTGCTACAACAGAAAAACTCTACGGGAGAACGCTTAAAATTTCCGTGGCGCTTAACGTGTTAACGCCATTGTAACTAGAAAGTTGCAGAATATATTCATTTGGTGGAATTATTGGAACTATCGAATACATTGTTAATTCGTGTTCATATGTGAATATTTAGTAATTTTCTACTGCATAGATTTTGTTATCCCATAGAGGGTTAACTTGCTTCCACCGAGAAAACATCGATGAAGATCTGATAGTAGGTAATTGGGGAACATGTCAGTGTGATCTCAATCAAAATCGGCGTAAACATTTACAAAATAATATTTCTAAAATCCAATATACGTGAATTTGACGGGTTCCGTAAATCTAGTGTTAAAACAGGTAGAGATTGCAATAAAATAGAATGTCTGACTCGACATAGAACTGCTAAGGGTTAAAGGTAGAATTACTACGAGTTGGTGTGGACCATCTCTGGTTAAAAATTTGACACTGGAACACTGATAATTTTCTGAGAAATTGGACACATCGATTCAGAGGAAACCAAGCTAGAACACAAGAAGATTGTAACCTCGATAAACGTATTTTCATAAGTGAGGAACAAGAGAACAATTTCACACGTTCCAACCGAATCTTCAGGAATATTCTATACTTCGTTATGTCACACTTAAATTCATAATCACTCGAATTCTGATTCCGTATTTAATCACTATTTACGATTACAATTCATCTTGTTTAAAAGATGAAGAATCGTAATGTCAACGATTAAGCCTATCGAAGAGAGTGGTTCTCAAACTTTCTCGCGCATGACCCCTCTTTATCATCGAGATTATGCCGCGACCCCAGATGTAAGTACAAAATAAAGATATAAAAATCAATATTTTCCCATGAACGATCCCTTTCATACAAAATTTCTCGCGAATGTTAGACGAATCGCTGAAACCAATGTTTCTTTAAACATTCCTGTATCCGAACGAGATTTTCGTGGCCAACACTTCGGTTTACTCGAGTTAGAAGTGAAACGATTAAAATTCATAATCGACGCTTAGGCCGGAGCTCCACCAGATTCTCGATCGTCGATGGAAGGGTCGTTGAACCTTTGAACGTGATCGCCGGGATGGCGTGGCCACGGTCAAGAATTTGGACATTGAGGCACGGCCGAGCGGCCGGGACGGGATCGAGGAGACGCGACGAGGAAGAGGGGATCCCCCGAGCGGGGCGAGCCCGGAAAAAGAAGAGGAAGGAAAGAAAGCGAATGGACCGGGAGGAAATGGGGAGGGGAATTGTCCGAGAGAGCCGGAAAGTTGTTTGTACGAGTCGCCGAATATAAATACGAAACTCGGGGCTAAAAGTCACCAGTAGAAGAAGCGACGGTACGTTGAGCCGGTCGCGAGTACACGGACGCGGGTCACCGGCTTTTTAGTGCGCGATTCGGAAAGTTTACGAACGCTGACGCAACGACCACTCGAATAACAAATAGGAAGAGTATAAATAGTGCACCGGAGCTGTCGAATTCAGTTTCATACGCGTAAGTTCTTCATTAGCGATCGAATATGAAGGTATTAACCCTTACTCGAGGTGACTCACCATTTGATTTCATAGAGTGAAACTATAAAATTTGATATTTAATATTATATTCCCTGTAATGCATCGTTTTGAGGAATATTCGAACAAAGTAGCTTTGCTCCTCGATGCACGCGTGATTTCTCGTCGACTTAGTTTCACGAAATATCGACTTTGTCTCATTAGAAAATGTTCAAATATTTCTAGTGAGAAACTTCCGAGACATTTGTCACTAGAAATGTTCAATTTATTTTTATCAGATACAGATGACATTTTTTAACTTAACGAGGACTCTATTTACAAAATGAGGAACACTGGTATTTTATTTCCACGTGTCACGTATCGACAGATTACTCGAGACTTAATGTTAAACACGAAATTTTACAATTTTGATGCGAGTGGTGACTGGCACCTTCCGAGTGAAAAGGGTTAACACTGGATTCACGGAATGAGTCGATTTTACTGATAATAAATTTTATAAACATTAACACTGGAACTACCGTACCAGTCAAACTGGTTTCGATTTTTTTGTTTAGCAGTTATTGATATCTTCGAAATGATTTTGAAAGTAGCCTCATTTCAGTACTATAACGAATGCCTGAACAAACTGAGAATAATCTATTGTTAGTTTTTATCGTATTAAATGCTCTAGTTCTAGTGTTAAATGTTTGGGTCGATTTTAATCATCTACCTCCAAATCTCTAATTTCCAAGATCTAAATGAACGAGTGTCGATCTTTCTAAAATGATAGAACAGACTGTAAATTTTGTCCATCGAATCATCTGTCATTCTCTGTAACAGTGTCAAGAAAGAAGGCCTGAAAAATGTACATGGTCGAGGAGTACGTGAACGCCTGCAAGTTTCAGTACCGAGATGCGCTCGAAGTGATCGAGGAATTCGGCAAAGAGATCTCAGAGATGAAGGGCAAGTGCATAGACATCGGCTGCGGTCCCGGTAACGTCACCAAAACGCTGCTGTTGCCGAAACTAGCACCGGAAGTTCAAGTAGTCGGTAAGGGAATCGTGGAACTTGCTTCTTCGTCGACAGACCTCTTAACCCTTTAACACTAAAACTACCAGAGCGGTCAAATGACCCATGCCTGATGTCTTCTTTTTGCAATTGTTAGGAAGGTGACAAATGCTTCTCTGAGAAATTATTAAAGAAATCCATTTAGCACTACGCAAATTGAATTGTGAATCAATTAAAGTCTGAACAGATGCACTCTTGGAGTTTCTATAGCGAAATTTTCAAAAGTTTCTCTTCCTAGCAATTGATATCTTCGAAGCATTGAATATTCGAAATGATTTTGAAAATAGTTTCATTTGAGTACTATAACGAATGTCTGAAGAAACTGAGAATAATCTACTGTTTCAATTTTTATAGGAATTGCATATTAATTAACCCTTTGAACTCTGTAGGCTCCAATATTGCTTCAGAAGTAATATTAGATATTTTAATGAATCTTAAAGAAACTACCCTACAATTATTACATTTTTCACACACCCAAATGTTGAAGGAAAATAAAAGATCTAAGAAATGTTACAGCATTTCTCATTTTCGCTAGGATTACTATAAAAATTAGTTGCAGTTGCTAGATTACAAAACCATCCAGAGTGCTAAGGGTTGAATGCTCGGTATCTAGTGTTAATGACGAAGCAGTTGTATTATAGTTACGAAATAAATCATAAGGCTAATTAAGGTTAATTGACTCGAATCTCCAGGGGCGGACATATCGAAACCAATGGTCGAATACGCAAGGAAGAAGTGCAGCGAGGAGAAACGTTTGTCCTTCATATGTTTAAACGCCGAGACCGAAGATCTTCCTAACGAGTTAGTCGAGCAGTTCGACAACGTCTTCTCCTTCTTCTGCCTCCACTGGTGCGTGAATCCATGGTACGTCTCGTTGCTATCTCCCCATTGAGTTCCTCTTCGATAAACATTAAAATCTGCACCTAACGCGAGACAGTTCTCACTATACATTCAAAATTGCCCAAACAAACGATGGAACCGTGACAAACCTCCACGATACGATCAATTCGTCAAACGATTTACCTCTTCAAACGTTTAATCCAACGTTCTCTCGCATCCAGGCGAACGTTCAACAACATCTGGAGGATGCTCCGACCCGGTGGCACCGCGCTGACGATGTTCCTGGCGCGCAACGACGGCTTCGACGTTTACATGAGCCTGTACGAGAATCCACGGTACCGGCCGTACATGCAGGTAACGAATTTCCGAGAAATCCCCCGGAATCGCCGAACGAAATTACCGGTTCTCAATCTCCACCGAAAGTACCTTCATGGTTTCGGTTAATCGAGGACTGAATACAAAGTAGCGTGCCGTGCCTGTAATTTTGTCTCTGGCAGTTCCACTGGTACGTTATTAAACTCCTTACCCGACGCGTTTCGTTCCGCAGGATGTAGACTGTTTCGTCCCTTACTATCACAGATGCAAAGACCAACGGTCTTCCCTGAGGAGAATATTGGAACACACCGGGTTCGAGGTTCTGCACTGCAGCAAGAGGGAGAGGAGCTACATCTTCCAGAACGAGCAGTCGCTGATCAGTAAGCGAAATAACAACGATAAAATCAACGATCACACTCGACGAGGAATAAAGTAGTTAAACGAATGTTCAACTCGACAGATCACCAGCTGGCGGTGAACCCGTTCATCAACAGATTTCCAGAGGAGCTTCGCGAGGAGTTCTTGGAAGATCTAACGCAGGGACTGCTGAGGCGGAAGATTCTGTTCCGCCGCGACACCGACTGCGACCAAAGGGGGTACAGGATCTTGGACGTGTACGACATTCTCGTGGCGCACGTTAGGAAACCCCTGGAAGAAGCCTGCCACGAGGACCGTTAGGAGTGTTACGTGTTCGCTGAAACGTGCAACGTTGTTACCGTATTATTACCATAATTCTACTGTTAATAAAAAAAACCATGGAAAATTTACTCACTTTCGTTCCTCTCCTTGCGAACACGAGTTTCAACGGTAAACGAACGATCTCGAGGGAATTAGACGTGCGAACGGAATTTAACGTGCGTCCGCTTCGTTTCCGACTGGCGAACGGGTATTTCCGGCGGCGGAAACGGGTGGGATGGAATGAATGGAGCCGTCGGGATGCTTGGACTCGGAGGATCCGTCGGACAGCAAGGTACACCGTGGTTCTGCGTCGTTTCTACAACACTAAACTTTATTGTACACTATATATCTTTGATTTTACAATACGGTACAGCCATTTATAGAATATCGTTTAAAACTCATATATCGTCGTTACGGGTAATAAGTGGATCTGTTGCGGTGCTTACGTGGTAACCATACACAGGGTAGTAACAATTTCGCTAACGCTTCCCTCCTAAAAAAGTACGCCCAAGTCGTGGAAGCTGCTCGAAACCATGGACATCGATCGGCTCCGGCACCGTGGAGCTTCCCCGAGTTCCCAGCGACGCGCGATGAACTCCGCGTCCGCGTCTTCGACCCCCCGACCCTCTGGATTCACCGGTGAACTGCGGCTTTCGCGCGCTCGCACGTCTCGTAGAATACAATAACGAAATTCAATGACAATTCAACGGAGACTTCGTCGTGGTCGGAATGCTCAACAGACGTTGCGAGCTTTTCACCCTTGCAGATCATTTAACCGGTTAACTGCGTTCGACGAGTATACACGTAAAACTTGACACGATACCAATTCTCAGCGATGAATTCTTTTTTTCATACAAACGTGTAATTCTTCGGTTCGCTCCATTTTTCGACTTTATTGCACAGAACCAGAGGTTTTTTCAAGAGATTCCACATTTAACTGGTTAAATGACGATGAACAACGAATATAGTGAGAAATCGTTTAAACGACCGTCGTTCGCGTATCCGCAGTTCACAGGTGAACGGACGCCATCTTCGTTTCCTCGAGGGAAGCGCCACGGTCTCGGGAACCAGCTACGTCGGAACGTTTACGGAAGCGGGACCGGAAACCCTAAACGAAAGCAATCCGAGCTTCTACCGCGGTTCGCGAACTCTACTCCCGACAGAACGTAGGAATTCGTCGATCTCGCAGCCGACAGTCGAGCGTCTTCTTCCGGGTTCAACCCCGAATTATCCACCTGCTGTGTTTACTGTCTCTGATAGCGGAGAAGTTTAAACCGAGTTTCACTTGGAAAAATAATGGGAAGCTAATTATACGAATGATCGGTGAAACTCCTTTTAACACTTTGACTGCCAAGTAAATAGCCAAAACTCTCATGCCATCGAAATAGTTCTCTTAATAAAGCATACACTAAAGTGTCAAGATTCTTCGTAACGGTTACTTTACTACATTCTGTGTATCTCACACAATTAATGAAACTTAGTTCGTTCGATACGTCACCAAGAAAACGAATGTTCAAATTACGTGGCAGTCAAAGTGTTAATTTGAGTCGAATGTCTTCGTCTTCTCGTTAACCATTTGCACTCGGAAGTTCTTCACTAGAAATATTTGAACATTTTCTGATGAGACAAAATCGATATTTCGTGAAACTAAGTCGACGAGAAATCACGCGTACATCGAGGAAGAAAACTATTTTATTTGAATATTTCTCAAAATGAATATAGGGAATATAATATTAAATATCAGATTTTATAGTTTTACTGTATGAAATCAAGTGGTGAGTCACCTTTCGAGTGCAAAGGTTAACTTTCTCTTCGCGGCGAGTTTGCAACGGATTCTTGATTAGCGATGCAGTAAAAGCTGACAGTCGAATGATCGTTAGTGAAATATTGTAATTGCAGATAACGTTCAATTGAAACTACGAGTGGAAACGTTGAGCAAAATCTCCTCTCGGAGGCGGTAAACACAGCTTCAACCTTGAAACGCGTCGTCGCGCTCGACCGCGCCGCGACATCGTCCCTTCTGGCCAGCTACGGGCTAACACAGAGCTACGGTCAAGCGAAACAATTGTAAATGCGTCGAAATCGAAAAAGTATTCCGAAACGTACGAAAACAGTCCAAAGGGGAACGCATCGAAGAATCGTCGGATCGATCGTGGGACGCCATTGGTGCGGGCGTACGTTAAAAAACGGCTCAAAAAATCCTTATCGTTACGGAAGTTCTGTGCGGATCCGCCGGCAGCGACGCGGAGAGCCGAAACTGAACCGATGCATCAATTACCTCGAACGTTCTTACACGATTCGCGGAATCTCCACCGTCGAACGTTCGCAATCCGAGCTCTGCCCTCTCGGAACGGCGTGCCCGGAGTCTCCAACGTTCGCTTAATTAAACAATATCATCGGGATCACCGTTCCCAAAGGGCGCAGCTCGCAAGAATAGTCGAAAGTTGCAACGGTGCAAGCTGAAAACCATTGTGCGCGTGATGGCGGGCTAGAGGCTCTCGAAACTTCGCGTGACAAGATCGACGAAGTGCAACACGTAGAAAAGAGTGGAAAGGGAAAACAATGGAACGATCAACCCTAGAATCCTACGAGAAAAAGGGGTGGCACGAAGATATTCGGTTCCGAAAGAAACCGCGAAGCTTTCTACCCCGATCGTCAACCGATCACTCGTAAACCGCGGATTCCCAGAGATCCCCCACCGCGCCGGAAGCGACGCGACAGCCGGAAAGTCCGTGAAACCGTCTCCTTCGGGACGACCGTTCGAAAGGCAACTCGCCGAGCACCTTTCCGCTACACGCGCGCCTCGCGTTCTATTAATAGCGAGCGGACAGATAAAGCGTGAAAGAAATCGCGAGTGCCACGAACGCAGGAGATCCGCAGCCTGCCAATTACTATCCACGTGCCGACCTACGGCTCCCCGTTATCCGACTTCTATTCCTGCTATCTCGCAGCGTATCGATCCGGGCACAGGTCGCGCGATAACGCAGCGAATCCTTCGGCCAGAGAACACAATCGCGATTCCTTCCCTCCTCCTCCTCCTCCTCCTCCGACGGCGCGAGGGGGAGGCCAGCTCCCGTAAAAAATTCAATTGCCGGGATAAATCAATTGACGCGCGGTATAGCGCGGGGCGGCGCGGCGCGACGCGTATAAAGCGGCTTAAAATATGTATCGGCTTGAAATCTTGAGAACGTAGTTGCGACGGACGGATCGGGCTGCCCCGTGGCCCGATCTAATGTGGAAGCGACTCGTAAATTACGGCTAATAGGCGCGCATGGTTTTGCACGGGCAATTAACGATCGAGCGAGCGAGTCGGAAAGAAAGAACGGGGAAGGAACGGGCGAGCTCGTGGACGACGAAACCCTTCATTTTCTGCGGCGCGCGGTCGGTTGCGTGACGGCCGCGGAGGAATCGACCGTGGCGATGGAAGTCGAGGGAAAACAAACTGCGACGCGTCGCTCTAATTTACAGAAGAGAGGAACAACGTGTTTCTCGCTCGCTCGCTCGCTGGCCTGAACGGATCAACCGTTATTAATCGTCCGTAAATATTCCGCGCGGATCGATGCGGCACTGCTTCTTACGCGATACGAAGGGAACAATAAATTTAGCTCGCCGAACGATAAAACCGCGAAACGCCGGCCGAGATGTATCGTCGTCGTAGACGGAGAAACGGAAGTGTCGCTGGGAACGCGCGCGGGAGAGCCTCGAGCCGCCGCGTCGGCCGCGGATCGGACGAATGCGGGACCGCTTTCCGATGGAAGGCAACAAACTTTCGACAATTGGCGAGATCTAGACGCGACTATAGAAAATACGAGACGCTCGCTCCCTTGGCTTCGTCCGGTGTTACCCTCGGCGTGGATCCGACGTCGCGGGTGGGAATGTCTTTAACACTTTGAGCGCTGCGTCACCTGGATTCTGGTGACGTCGATTTTTATGTAAACATTAACCCTTTGCAGTCGAGAGGTAACTCATTGGATTTCATGAAGAGAATTATGAAATTTGATATTTAATGTTAAACTTTACACGATGCATCGATCTGTGAAATACTTGAACGAAATATTCTTGAATGTACGTGTCGTTAGTTTCAAAAGATATCTTCATCTCGGGAATGTTAAAATATTTCTATTAAACTTTCGTTAGATACAAGACAGTAGAGCAATTAAGAATCTTGACTTTAGTCTCTGCTCGATTTTAAAACCTTTTCGACTGCTCAGAAGTTTCCACGAGTGTTTTGCCAGTCAAAGTGTTAACGCGTTGACTGCTTCGCTGGCCACCGGCGGCCATCTTTAACCCCTTCGCATGCGATGTTAAATCGTAGCAGAGTTTGAACGGTGTTCGACGAGTATGAAGCTACTTGAGTTTTTCAGATACAAGTTAGATGTTATTTTTCTATCGTCGATCGCTGTAGAGTGAACGTTATCAATTATAAATTACGAGATTCTCGCGTCGAACGCCGTTGAGAAATCGCAGCGCGAGGGGTTAATTAATACACGATCGAAAGGAACTGGAACGTTCGTAAATAATGAACCTTGGCAAGATGGATGCGACATTGGGTACAATAGAATGCGAGTTAATACATTTATACGGTAAATAGTTACACGTGTAATAGGAAAATTCGTCGGCAGTCAACGCGTCAGCCGCTTGCCTCGATGACGCGTACAATCGCAGACGAAACGCGGTACTATTTCCTATTCAACACTGAATATTCGAAGCGAACGTAAGCTTACGGTAAAAGTAGAATCATCAGGTCACTGCACAAGCGATGTCGTTCCTTATGAATATTCCCAAAATGGCATTAAACGATTCATCGAAAAACGGAGGAAATAGAAGTGTCATCTTTCTATTCCGGAAGCTAGCATAGGAAAACGACATTGCTCATATGACTCGATACATCCTTTTATAACAGCTCATCGAAGACGAAACAATTCTATGAAAACGAACAAGAGAAATCGCAAAAGACAAGCGGTTGACATTGTATCCCCACGAGCGTAAACAATTGAAATACTTGGTTCAAACGGAATCACGATCCGAGACCGAAATTTCAACGCGTTCGTCGGTCGTCGTTGAGCGAGAATCAAAGAAACTCCGGTCT